TCTTGAACTTCCTCCAGAGTTTCGACTGATTGTGGCCGGAAGGTGTGAGGGTAGATCTCCGGCTCGTCCGCCTCGAGGACATCCTCTTCCTCACCCTCTTCCGTCTCCTTCTTCTCGTCCGCCTCGATGAAGATGGCTTTCCAGTAAGACAAAGCATCCTCCCGCTTGTCGACCTCCTCCTTCCTATATGTCTGCCACATGTGTCTATGCTGTTCGAGGACGTCCACAAATTTTTAGACACTGTCACGAGCCATCCGAAAATCGTCTTTAAGGACACGAGGAATAACACATGGCTGTGGAGGGGAGGCAGGGCCTGCATACTGGCCATCGACAACCGGGAACCAGTGAACTGGTCTGCCTTCCGGCATCCATTCCGCATCGGTACAGTACTTCTTGTACACCATGACGGGACTGCCGTCACGCATGAAGAATTTGAAGAGGTGCGGTTTTGATACGCCGACGATGGTTCTATCGTGTGCGACGACTCGATAAGTGAGAACAACTGCTTCATGGTGTAAGCATCGTTGTCCTTCAGTTTTTTTGAGAAAACACTAAAAGTCACGTCTATGTCGTTATGCGTGTGGCCGACGAGCATGAACCCCACTTCGACATCTTCGAAAATCCCGAATTTCACCAGAAGAGAGGCCAAACACATAAGGTATTGGTTTTTGTTTTCCCTCCAGCAATTATCCGCCTGGATGCGGAGGTGGCGTGGCCATTTCTGTCCCGACGCCTGCAACTCACATAGAGTCCGCATAACGCACGTCATGGTGCCATCGGAACCGTGCGCATAGAAATGCAAATACGTGTACACATGAATGGACGGTTTCCTGCCGTGAGCTACGACCGCGGTCAGGGCATCATGTCATGTCGATGATCCTTGGAGTAATTATACATGCCGATGTGAGGAATGGTTGTCTTTTTCTGATCCATTCCATCCACTATAAGGCAAAGGTATTCCGCAGGGTTCAAAATGGAACGAAGTTTCCAGTCAGCGTAATCCGCATGGTGCGCGACCTGATCTAGTTGGTGTTTGCGGTGCTTTTCATCGAAATCCCTACGGTCACGAAGGAGGAAGACGTTGTCTCTGGCCTGTCTAAGGCGGACGCACTCGCCACACTTTGTGAACGAGTTGGACTTGGCAAGGTCGGCATGCCACAAGTACTTCCTCCATATGCTCCATATGGAGTAGAAGACTTGCTCCGAAACGACGGTCTGACCCGCCGCTTCCAAGTCCGCCTTGATAGACTCGTATACAAGAAGCTTCGTGAAATAAGCAGGGAGCCTAACTTTGGGTCGTTGTGAGGTCCCCCTCACAACCATTTCGTTAGGCATAGCATCTCCATGTTCTTCCACGAACCTTGTCACACGAGCCAGCATGCTCACATACTCCGGTCTCGGGTTCAACAATCCCCATCGACCATGACGGTCACAGACGACCCCGTCCAACTTGCACTTGCTATAACGACGAAATGTGTTTCGACATATCCCTATTATTTTGCACCAACCGGCGATGCACACACGGCGTTTGCACTGCACTGGTTGGACTCTTTCCAGACCACCGTCGAGGATAGTGAAATTGTCGAGGGTTGCATCCACCGCTCGATCCTCCTTTCGAGGGACATTTCGTAATAGGCTTTGCGCACTGGTTTGATATCGTCAATGGTCAAGACCCGAAGACACTTGTTCTTACAATATTTGTATGTCGGGACGAGCACAATGTTAGTTTCATTCAATCGACATTTGGCCCTCTTCGAATGTTCTGACCTTCTAACCGGCCTATTTTTCCGATTATATCTTCTCCTTTCTCCTGGTAGGGGATGGGACAAAACTTGAAGGACTGCTTCGGGAGTTCCAGGTTGGCTTTTGGTCGGGGACCTATGCGCTGCACCTAGGAATTTCGATCTGTCCGTGGGAGGGGTTCTCGGCAAATCAGATTGGGAGGATTCCGATGAACTGTAGAAATCTGTGTCTAGAAAACCAGTCTGCCAATTTTCCATTGCACCCGTCGCTGTCATCGACGGAGAGCCAACTATTCCGGCTTCACATGCAATTCTCTTACCTATCTTCGCACTTCCACACGCACGTATCGTTGCCTGGTCCCTATCATACCCGTTTCTACCAAATGCACCGCACTGTTTCCGATCAGATCCGTTTTTATCGGGTGTACCGCAGAAGTCTGTGTCCACCAACGACCGACTGTAGTCAAATGCTAGGGGTTGGGTAACTTCAATGCTTTCTGACAGTCTACCCGCTGTCCACACGAGATCTGATCCAGTCGTTTTGGACACACCACAGAAATCTGTGTCCACGAACATCCACCCACCGGGAAACGTCTCGACATCCCGAACACCCTCACTACCGGGGATTAGCGCTGTAGATACGCTCTGACCGTCGGGAACGTCGGTAAAGCGAACAAAACGACGCTGGGTGGACGTCGTAGACGAGCCTGAATGATTCGTCGGGGTCAACATTGAGAACTCCCTTTTCAAACTGCAATGCCGATCAGAAGGGACACATCACTCAGTTCTCCGTGTGCTCTGCACCCTTGCCCCATTATCCCCGTGACTAATTAAGCGTCAACCAAAACAACCATTTCATTCCTCGTGTGCAATAGATCGACAAGCATCCATAACCGTTCATGTCATAGAGGGAGAGAGAGGAGGTAGGGAGGAAAAGACGCGGAGCAGACAAGATAGATGAAAATTACACCAAGATTCGATGACAAAAAAGAGTTTCCGGCTTAGCTGCCGTCGAACTGAACTCACACCAAAGAATAGATTTGAGACAAGGAGGCACAACCGCCGTGAAGTTCAACTATGGCGCCGGGCCATTCATCCATTCAACACTGATCACTATCCCTGTGCATGCACCGACGATCCCGACCGTCACGTGCCACTTTCCACCACAGTGACTGCGATCGTCACCCTGCCGACTTAGTCTCTGTACGGCTTGCCCGGATCCCACAGTCCATCGTGGCGATCTGGCGCACCGCCAGCCAGACTACCGTCAACCCATCAGGACTTTTTGACTCGCACTCCACACGTACCATCTAGCCACCGCTTCCTGGAAGCTGGCAGACGAGTTGACAGGGAGATTTGCGGGCGCGTTTGTGGAATTTATAGTTGCGGGAAAGGAGGTAGATACGAGGGAGGATGAAGATTGGGGCAGGGAAGGGTGAGGGAGGACTTGGGGATAATCGCTCGGCGAAAGCCATGTTGATCCTTCTGAGTCCGATCGTAGCCAATCAGAGTCATCGCGTAATAGGAGTTTCCTCTTACACGACGTTTCTCCTTGGCTAGACGAGGTAAAGAGAGGACCGACCGAGTTCTTGAGCGTAGGACTTAGAGTGGGAGGAGGAAGGGTGCGCAGGATAGCGCGAAACGGATCCAAGATTCAGATGATCAAGGAGAAAAGGCGCGCGGGGAGAGAGAGAGAGAGGGAAAAATGGTTACAGAGGGAGGGTGAGCGCGGGCGCGAAAGGAGAGTCGAAGATGGCGAGGGGAGCAGAAAGGGGGAAGCTCGCTTGCATGGCGCCGATCACAAATGCAAAAAGAGGCACCAAAACAGTTACAGATTCCTAAGTCCTATGCTAGTTCAAAAATTGAAATCACCATATCCGCGCGTAAAGTAGGCGTGGGAAAAAAAAAGACAGTCCTACATCCATTCGTATTCCCACCAAATTCCCAGAGTTTTTCCCGATGTGGTCGAGAATATTCACGCACAAAAAGGACACGTCGGGTTCCGTTCATTTTCGAATTTCTAACCGCCGGGCCAAATTCCTAGCGCGTTCGCTAAAGCGCGTGTAATTCCCATGCATTTCCCAAATTATGAAAACGGAATTTCAAGAACCAATGAGACTGAAAACACGGGTCTTAGGAAGGCGCCTTTAACCAAAAAGAAAACAGAGAGGGGCCTTGTTGGTCTGAGCAAAATTCGAAAAAAGAGAGAGAAGGGGTCTGGAAGATGGCGGAGGCTCAGAAGCTGCTACGTCACACGCATAGCTCGTGCAGCATTGTAGCCGAGATCGAAGAGGAGGAGAAGAAGGGTCTCCTATAATTTATACGCAGAAGGCGGCGGGGTGCCAGCATGTGGTGCGGGCAGCAAGGGGTGTAGATAAGCAGGACAGAGGAAGAGAGGAGGTTCCAGAAGGATCAAAGGAGGCGGGGCGATCGGCATCTCTTGTTCAATGGGGGTGGCCATCCAAGCCACGCGCGTAAATTTGCTTTCGTGACATTGATGCGACCAGCCGAACTAACGACCAATCAATTGGGCTGAAGGGTAAGAGGACGATTGAGCGCAGCGTCGGGAGAAGACGAAGGGACATGCACGGAGGAGCAGTCAACGAGAAGCCATGATGATGCGCATACGTAGAGTGGGAACTGAGCTTGTGCGACATGCAAGAATTCAAAATTGGTTGCTCACGCGTCAACACAAAGAAAATTTGAATGCCACCAACTGAAATTCCGAACTTTTTATTGGATTTCTCTGCGTGGTCGCTAAGGACTAATGTGAACTAGGACAAGGGCAATTTCGAAAGATGCATGCATTTAGTTTTCAAAACTGAAAAATGGACCCCCCTCTCCTTGACCAGCTAAGATCCATGCTTCGGTGCTTACTTCTGATTTTATTATGAAGGGTACGTGAAGTCGCGAAGTACCGATCCCAGCTTGTCACAGGTATCAACGACCAGGTGCACTCATCTAATATTTGTATTGCGTAAGTGCCAACGCTACCATATTCCTCCCAGCGCCGGGGGAAGGGGGAGGGGTGTGGGCGGTGGGCAGCAGTGGCTGCGTGGCATGGGGTAAAGGGCAGGTGAGGGCAAGGAGGGGGGGGGAAGGCATAGAAATAGAAAGCCCTTCTTCCTCCGTATGGTATAGAGGAAGTTAATGCTACTATCATTCTTTTTTTTTCCTTCCGCGAGTGGCCTCATCACGAGGAAACCTGATCTGGCAAATGCCCATCACACGAAAGCTTGGAGTAAGAGGCCGTTCCGAAAGCCTTGCCTCTATTTATCCAATCCCCAATCTATCCTTCCATCGATATGCCACCCTAAGACTTGCATCATACGTTCGGTCACCATCGTGGATGCTGGCACTCTCCATAGTCTCAAGAGAATGGACATTCTGTGCCATCACGGGGCCTGGGGACCTGCACAGAGCAAACACAAGACAAGCACAGCACAGACGAAAAAACACACAAGAGGAACGAGCTCCGTGCGGCTCCAAAGTAGATGCTCCGCTTGATGTAATGAAGGCGAGAATCACAAAATGCCTCAGTGCTGCTACCATCGTGTAAGAGGCTATGTGGCTCGAAAACCGTCGTCGCTGAAATGGACAGACGTAGTCAGGTACCGATGATGAGTACATCTATGGATAAAACCCTCTCCGAAAAAAGGAAAACAACGAAAAAAGTCCCCATGCCTACCACCATAGCCAGAGTTCTATGCCACAAAAACCGTCATAGCGGAAAACAGAGAGCCGTAACAGCACCGTCTGTAGGAAGCATCAAAAGTACCGCAACTGCTGACAAGCCGAGGCACCGTCGGCCATCAACATCCAAAGAGGTAAGGGTCAGCGGTGCAAAGACACTAAATAGCGTACATACAACACCGGTGGCTTGCACCACGGCCTCCTGGATCGCGCGGGAAATCGGAGGTCGGACTCTCCATGCCAGGGTCATGCATCGTGTCAGGCGGGAAATCGGAAAAATGGAAAACCCACCAACGTTGCAGCAAAATTACGCCAGCAGAATGTGTACCTAAAAACAGGCCCAAGGTCGGGGTCCTACAATAAAACATTCATTCCGCAGGCTCGTCAAGCCATTACGTCCACAACAAGCCCATCGGGCCGGTTTGGCAAAACAGCCAAACCCCTTATGTCACCATCCTGGCCACAACGAAGCCTTCGGGCGAATTGACTTTCTGGGAAAACCGATTGAAAACATTGGAAATCAGAGCCAGCGGGTACTTCCTCATGACCAGCTCTCTCCGAATGGCCAGAAAAGCATACAAACGGCCAAAAGGGTCCGATGATAAACGATGAATGCAGTAAAGTGTGCACATTAGCGCACCTACCTTGGCTACTTTGGCTGAGTAGAAATCGAAATCTTGGAAGGAGGCAAAGGCCAAAGCCCCCTCGTTCCAGATCCGTTCCACATTCTTCATCAAAGCAAAAGTGTGAATGGCTAAGCCACATCTCTGAATCTGGATCTCGGCGAAATTTCATTTTGGCGTCCAATCGTCGGTCCTAATCAACCTCAGGACCTTACCATAGGAATGCTCAAAGAATGTCAAAATGCGTCGGCTTTAGCATAGCCACCCGTCCGTGTAACTGCCACAAAGACAGTAACATCATCCACTATCTGAAAACCAAAGACCAAACGCCTATCCATTCCTAGGTTGCATAAAAACCGAAATTCGGCGGAAGCACAGAGAATACATGCTAAGGAACAACTGGTCGACTTGCCCATCGACACACCAATCACTTGCTTCAGCAAAGATGTTCCTGACCAGACATAGGTAAAGCGTAGATCAAAACCGATCATGCTCCAAATATCAGTCAAGCTGATTCGGAGGAAACCTTCGCGCCTACCTTTGGTCGACAGATGTGCCTTCTTACCCCTCCTGGCCACATTCACCGCTTTATAACCCCGTGCATCGAAAAACGAAAGCAACCAGTCTACTGCGGCCAAAATATCGCCGTGTGGTAATATGACGAACGAACTTGATATCGAAAGAACCCGTGATGAGATCATACACCCATGTCATTCTTCGTAACGCTCTATCCATCCCAATCAAATCTTCAGTCATCATCGCCACCTCCTTAAGATTAAAATTCGATCTAGCTGGCAACACAACAAGAAGGCAATTCAACGCACGAGCCACCCTAGTGCATGCGAGTCTGGAAGGTTCATTACATGTTGGTGAAATAGGACGCCATCGCATTAAATCTTTATGCTTAGGCAGAATGTAATCTTCAGTCATCATCGCCACCTCCTTAAGATTAAAATTCGATCTAGCTGGCAACACAACAAGAAGGCAATTCAACGCACGAGCCACCCTAGTGCATGCGAGTCTGGAAGGTTCATTACATGTTGGTGAAATAGGACGCCATCGCATTAAATCTTTATGCTTAGGCAGAATGTAAGCCGTGTCAAACGATCCTTTGGAATCCCATTTTCCCAAACTGTGTAGACCTGCTCCAAAAAAATTGTCTTACATCAGCTGCAGAATCTCCCGTTCTGGAGTACATGTCACCGCAAAGGACGGGTTGAGGTCAAAAGTCAGTCTCATATAGTGCCGGTACAGCAAAGGGCATATCACAAGAGTATCTGTGATATTCCTATCTATAGGCACACATACAAAGTACCTAAGACGATCAACCCAAACCTTCAGAAAATTAGTCACACCAAATTCGGACTTACCCCTCCAACATGCCTGTAAATCTGTGAGGTTAATGACAAAGGTCGAACGCACATACGAGCAAACAGTCGTGAGTTGTTTCCCCAGATTCGCTAAGCCCTTTCTGCAATTCGAGGCAGGAATATTTCTCGAATTACGGATGAAATCCGGAATGTCAGGGATATCGGAAATGCGAGTCCGAATGTGCAAACCAAAACGAGGCCAACCCGACTCTATATCGAGGCATGGACATATTACTGACGCGTCATCAAGCCGAGCTGCCTCCCAATGCGTTATAATAAGGTCAGAAATAGACCTGTTCTTCATCCACACTATCCTGATCCATTTCTTTAAAAATTCCCGTAAGGACAACTGTAGCAAAGAACAATCAACAATGCGTTCTACCAGCTGATGGACCTTAGCCGTACACAACTTATGGCCATACCTCAAACGGACAACGATCCGTCGCCGGATATCTATACCAATCTTCGACTTAATCACTTTTGAGAGCATAATTTTCAAAGCAGATCTAGTTTTCTTCCTCGAGAACTCTCTAGCCGCTTTGAACCATCGAAGCAAAGTTTGTACCGAGCAACAGCGCAAACCTTTCCTTCTCCAAGATTGTTGCAGTAGCAAACGCAATTGGCCTTTCTGGATCGCCCTTCCGTTTGGGGTAAAAATAATCGGTCCTATGGTGAATTCTCCTCCTTCTTGTATCCTATCCTTCAGAGAGCTACGACAGGCAAAACGATCGAGAAACCGAACAGATGAACAACCAAAAATCCTACGAAGTACTGACCATCGGTCCACCCATACATTACCCGGTGAGCTCTGCAAGGAAAGGTACCTAATCCTGGCTGTGTACGAAGCTTTCAATAATTTGAGCAAACTATCAGTCCAAGTGCCCTTGTGTGGCCGAAATTTTATGATCCAGGGACATCCCGATCTCAGTGATCCGTTTCTTCGCAGTCTTGAGAGTCTAGTCCGATGTCAATTAGTCCTAATCAAACACCTCGTATTCAGTGTCGAAGAAAACATACGGATAACCGACTTCTCTGCTCCTTCTACTGAATCGAGACCATTGACAACTGGGACTGCTACATACTTTTCATGCCCGAAGAATCGTAACCATCTATACAGCTTAGGATTCGTCCCCACGCCACCTGTAAGGGTAGTACGAATATGTTCACCCCAGCGTACGTAGACACCCCTGACTGAACTACCAACATACTGCGATCTGCACCATGGAGAAGACAAAACATACACCGTCGGTCCCTTGTCCCAGTCAGACCAATCTACTGTCCGAAGCAGTCGTTCAAATTTTGTCATCCAAGCTATCTCACCGAGGATGGCGAGTGCTACAAAACACAGAGTTGATGCGCCTTCTCATACTTGAGACGTAAGGTATGGTATCGCCGACCAATAGGAATCTCGGAACGTCTCTTCAAGGACTCCATCAGATTATACCAAAGCTTATACCGAGAAAACTGTGCTAGTCTACTGCCCTGAAGGTCTTCTTCAGGTGATGTAGGAGCCGAGGTTGCCGGTACGAACACAAAGCCTTCATACGCACATTTCACCCGTGCGGTGATGATACGCTCAACGGTTGGTAGCTTGGTACAGTAGTGAACTCCTTCCTTCGAGCATATCCTCTTGAGCTCCTCCGGTTTCATACTCGATAGTTCTTTCCGTTGATCGAGTATAAATTGTAGCAGACCATCTCGTCCGCTTCCTGCCGCTTTCTTCGTCTTAGAACATTCTTCGTCCTGGTGCGATGATTCACCTCTGTCCCGGTTGTTACCAGTGGGAGTTCCGAACGCAGGTTGTCGAAAACGACCTCCCTCAGGCATCGGGGTCTTCCCTCGTCTCTTCCGATCCCTTAAAGCGCTCAGTCTCCGAATCTCATCAGCAAGATCCTCCACCTCCTTGTCTACGTCCTCTTCCCATCTGTCATCTCTCTGTCGTGGAGTATAGGCAGCAGGTGTCCTGATGTCTTCCCTTCGAGCTTCCTCCTTACACGTCAGGAACTGCTTGCCTAATAGCGCCATAAGCTCCGCCTTCGTTGCTTCGGCATGTCGTGCTGTTTCGATACGCACTTGGTCCTCGAACCTCCTTTTGTCTTCCTGTTCTTTCCGCAAAGCATCCACCTGCTTCTTTTCTAGCATCATCTCTCTGAGGAACTGTCTCTCCTCCGTATCCTCCTGCACCCGTCTAAGTGCCCAATACCTTGGAGCAATAGGAGTCGAAGGACCCATGGCTCTGTTCACGTTACCTGTCATAGCGTTTTGTCCTCGTGCATTCGAAGGACATTCCCTTGAAAAATGGCCTTCACACCCGCACTTGAAACATTTCAACGAAGTACCCATGATCGGTAGAAGGATACCCACGACTCCAGATAGAATGAAAACGCAACAAACGGAGTGGGAGGTAAAGTACGAATACCTCACGGGACAGTGCAAAATGGGAAGGAAAAGAAAGGATAGGGGACAGTAACTACAGCCGCGGAAGACATATCGAGATCGTCCTAACGAAAACAGATGTCTGGTAAATGGTCTGAAATTACGGATCATATCTCACCACCACCCGGTAAGCATCCGCCTCTTCCTCATACAACACCACAATCCTTACCAACGCCCCACTATCACCAATCCACATTGCACATCGCAATACTACCCTCATACTTGTGTTATAGCGAACAAACCCCTCCCCTTTCAGTATCTATGCAACCTCTTGCTACTCCCAGCACAGATACCCTAGACGTAGACGTAGTCGTAGACGTAGCCACCAAAATTGTGTTCGACTGCACTATCGGATGCTACGTTTGTCAATATGATAGACAGACTGAGCAGCTCACCAGCCTAAGTATGAGGATAATTCCATACACATCACACCAATACAGTTCCGAATTATCACGCATACCACAAAATGAGCTCCAATGTAATCTCGATGAAGTACAACCATAGCCATAGAGCATATAAGAATGATCGTCAAAATGTGTTCTGATCACCCCCAAGAGTTATACTCTTCCCACCACTATCCACAGTCTAGCGGCCAAACATCTACGCGTTTCAGCCACCCCGCGAGTGGCCTCATCAGAAGAAAACCTGATCTGGCAAATGCCCATCACACGAAAGCTCGGAGTAAGAGGCCGTTCCGAAAGCCTTGCCTCTATTTATCCTATCCCCAATCTATCCTTTCATCGATATGCCACCCTAAGACTTGCATCATACGTTCGGTCACCTTCGTGGATGCTGGCGCTCTCCATAGTCTCAAGAGAATGGACAGTCTATGCCATCACGGGGACTGGGGACCTGCACAGCGCAAACACAAGACAAGCACAGCACAGACGAAAAAACACACAAGAGGAACGAGCTTCGTGCGGCTCCGAAGTAGATGCTCCGCTTGATGTAATGAAGGCGAGAATCGCAAAATGCCTCAGTGCTGCTACAATCGCGTAAGAGGCTATGTGGCTCGAAAACCATCGTCGCAGAAATGGACAGACGTAGTCAGGTACCGATGATGAGTACATCTATGGATAAAACCCTCTCCGAAAAAAGGAAAACAAAGAAAAACGTCCCCATGCCTGCCACCATAGCCAGAGTTCTATGCCACCAAAACCGTCATAGCGGAAAACAGAGAGCCGTAATAGCACCATCTGTAGGAAGCATCAAAAGTACCGCTACTGCTGACAAGCCGCTGCACCGTCGGCCATCAACATCCAAAGAGGTAAGGGTCAGCGGTGCAAAGACACTAAATAGCGTACATACAACACCCGTGGCTTGTACCACGGCCTCCTGGATCGCGCGGGAAATCGGAGGTCGGACTCTCCATGCCAGGGCCAGGCGTCGTGTCAGGCGGGAAACCGGAAAAATGGAAAACCCACCAGCGTTCCAGCAAAATTATGCCAACAGAATGTGTACCTAAAAACAGGCCCAAGGCCGGGGTCCTACAACAAAACGTTCGTTCCGCAGGCTCGTCAAGCCATTACGTCCACAATAGGCCCATCGGGCCAGTTTGGCAAAACAGCCAACTATACACGATATAATTATTTGAGAAAATTACTAGGAAAAGGGGTTGTAGAAGCACTATTTTGACAAGAGACGCAGAGGGCATTTGAAATAGTTGAACCATGTATGTAATATAAGTGATAGTGGACCCATTTTTCAGCAAGTTTTGCTCCCTACCTAAATAGAGTGGAGCAGCCAAATTTCAAATTTGTAAATCTCAACTTGGGGGGTTTTCTTCCCACCCCTTGGGTAGACATCCGCCCTGACATTGACATGAAACAAGCATTGAGAGCAGCACAAACTTTCGTGTCTCTAAGGGGTTTCCCCCCTACAAAACACTCATGGTGTCCGTTCACTTTCTATAATCTCTATTATCGTGAAAGAACGTTGGTTCGAATCCAACCACAAACAAATCATTTTTGTTGTTGGAGAAAAAAAGTAGGGTGAAAAAGTCACAGTTCGGAATCCAACTATAGATGACATGATGACATTACTATTTGAGAAAAATACAAGGAAAAGGAAAAGGGTGTAGAGTCCCTATTTTGACAAAAGACACAGGTTTACTGGAGGGTTTGGCAACGGACTAAAGTCTGGCATTCCGGGACTGGATGAAAATTGGGTCGGGATCCCGCTTAGGCCAGCGCAGGAGTTTGGAGACCCTTCTCCCCCTGCCCACTAGCTTTGGTGGAGAGCCCGTGAGGCAGAAACTGAGAATCCTTTTGGCCTGCCTCAGGGTTCCTCTAGTGTTTTTCTTCTTGTTTGCTCTCTCGTTTCTCCTCTACTCCCTTTCGCTCCTGGTTCTTGCTCCTGGTTTGCTGGTTTTGCTTATTTTGTCTTCAAAAATGTGACCCGACAGCAGGATAGGGAGAGATGGCTGAGGCGTGGGACCTTGCTGGTGCCCCTCAGTGTGTCCCAGCGCGCCAACAAGTCAGGGGGCGATGGGATGGGTTCTTTGGTAGGAGGTTTAGGGCAGATAAGGTGGATAACGCTGCGGGCCGTTTTCGGTAAGAAAATAAGCGACTCCTTTCAGAGTAGGCAGGGTAGGTTGAGAAGGATGAGTAGCTAATTTCAGAGTAGGCAGGGTAGGTTGAGAGAACCACCAGAATTGAGGCTTTACATGTCGGGGTGCTCCATCTATTGGTGTGAAATGGGAGAGACACCTGCTGGAAACCGAGTCCAGCGTCCCTTAGATACATCATCACTAGGAGCCAATTTTGCCTTTCAAGTGTACGCAGTTTTGGGGATGACTCCTTTTTTTTTTGTCAGCTTGAGGGCAGTGATCACATTACTTAGTGGTGGGTACTAATCTTCATATATCCCGATAGTAATAGGTGTTTAGTTTTAGGGATAACTGCTCCTGGGTCACACTTTAAGTTCAAAACGGCAAAAAAAACACTTAATGGCAACATCCTCGTCGTCCAAGTTCAAATTGGCAAAAAACACATCACTTTTTTTTTTTTTTTTTTTTTTTTTTTTAATCAAACAAGTTTTTTTTTGTTTTTTTTTTTTTTTTCCGTCGTATGGTCACGCCGCGGCTGGAACGGAAAAAATAAAAAGGTGTTCCGGCCCCATGGTTGGGCCACGGCCGAGATGTCTCGCCCATGGTTGGGCCACGGCCGAGATGTCTCGGCCACACCCCAGATTGGCCACGGCCGAGATGTCTCGGCCACACCCCAGAATGGCCATGGCCCAGATATATCGGCCAAACCCCGGCGTGGCCCGACAATGATTCCTTTTTTTTTTTTTTTTTTTCCGTTCCAGCCGCCGTACGACGCGGCACGGCGTGACCATACGACGGCTAAAAAAAATAATAATAATAAAAAATTGCAGCCATGGCGCGGCGCGGCACGACCGGGAAAAAATAAATAAATAAAAAAAAATAGAAGAAGACAAAAGTGCCTGTTTCGAACAGGCACCATGTGTATAACGCGGGCCACTGTTATTATTGCCGTTTTGAACTACGGTCGGGACGGACCTGCAGACGACTGTTTTTTTTGCCCATTCAAAACGTGGGTTGTGACCCACGGGCCGTTGCCCCTTATTTTTATGAAATTTTAGCACCCGTGGTTTGTAGGAATTGGGCTGTGCATAATTTTTTTCGCTGTCGGCGAGATAAGGAACATAGTGCCTAGTGGTGGTTGTGATGCTAGTAATTTTTTGGGATTGTTGGAGTTGCTCGGGGGTGGTTTTTGCTTTCTTGTTTTTTTTGGTGGTTGCAGGGACTTGGCTCGATCTTAGGGTTGAAGGCTGAGGCCCGCCGTTCCTGCTATTGGTTTACTGATGTTTAGCCTTGGGCACTGGGCCCTATTTGAATAAAATTCCAAGGTGCTTATGAAAGGGGAAAAAAAAAAGGGGGAAAAGGGAGTCACAAAAATGAGTTATAGTTGCACTGTGGACCAAGATACAGTTTCAAATTGCAGTTCGGTCAATGTATACGACCTGGCTTTCTGGCCAGGTAGGGTGCCCGAAGTGCAATTGTAAACTGTATCTTGCCCCATAGTGCAATTATGAGTAATAAATCGTTTTTTTCCGAATTGCGGTTCGGTCAATGTATACAACCCGGCTTTCTGGCCGGGTAGGGTGCCCGAAGTGCAATTGTAAACTGTATCTTGTCCCATAGTGCAATTATAACGGTCTCGTTAGACACTCCTAAAAGAATCCTAAAACTTTTAGGACGAGTCCTAAATGTTTTTTAGGATTTCCTGCGGCGTCGTTACACGCAATCCTAAAAATCATCTTTTAGGATTCGTCCTAAAAGGTCTGCCGCGGCCGTTTTTCATATGCGTATACGTAACCGTGCCGGCGATGTCCGTCCATTCCTGGCTGATGTCCGTGGTACACACTGCGGTGGCCCCAGGCCGGGTAAGGACGGGTCGGTGAAAAGCGCGGTGACCCAGAACTTTGAAAATTCAAATTCGAATTTTCGTGGACGCAAGGTTGGGGGGGGGACGGAGGACGGCCAGGTGACGCGTGTGACGTAGAAAAGACGGTGCTGGCGAACCGTTCGGCGTCGGTGTCAATCTTTTGAGTCTACGCAAGTTGTGAGCTGCGGGCGCATCTTCTTGCAAGGCGCATCTTCACCTCCGGCGTGAGTGCTGCCCTGTGGGAGCGTAGAGCAGCGGGCGCGTCTTCGGCTCCGGCGTGCGTCATCTCCTGTGGCAGCGTACAGCAGCGGGCGCATCTTCGGCTCCGGCGTGCGTGGTCTCCTGCGGCAGGGTTGAGTGTAGGGGGCATTCGCGGCGGTGGCGATGGCGGCGGCGTCAGAGATGGACGTTCACGGCTGCGGGCACGGTCTACGTGAAGAAGAGATCAACGAGGTGGCGATGGCAGTGACTGCCGTCGTCGTGAACACGATGAGCAACATGTCGTCGTCCTCACACGACATGGTGATGCCTATGTGACACCCGCGGCCTAGGCCGCGGGCATTTCGGCCGCTGCGGCCGAGATTCTCGGCCACGGCTGCGGCCGATGAGGCCCGGTCCGCGGCCTGGTTTTTTAATTATTCCCCCCCCGCCCCTAAAAATACGTAAAAAAAAAAAAAAAAAAAA